TATTATTATTATTATTATTATTATTATTTTATTCCTTCTTATTCTGGGAGCAGCACGTCATCTCTAAGATGAAATGACAGTGGTTCCGATTTTGCTGGTCCCTTTTTGTTATTTGGCTTGCCAGAATGAACAATATAAAAATAGTCCCTAATTAAATAAAACAATACAGTAATAACAACGACTTTGTTAACAGTCATAAGTCCTTGTTAACAATAAAAATATAATCATAACCATTATATTATTATAATCACTATTATAATATACATAGTGATTACAGTGATGAAAATAATTCTGTATAATAACCATAACAATTAGATAATAAATACACTGATAATAATAGTTATTACAAAAGATAAATAATTAACAAGTTATACATACTTTTCCCGACACAAAAATAACTCGTAGGCCTATTTACTGTTCAACTTGAAATCCAATACAGTAAAGTATTTCCATTTTCTCATTCCATGCTTACAATCGACTCATTGCATAGCAACGAGCTTACTTTCAGAAAGTTACAAGTAAACGGACGCGCAGCAGACAAGCGCGTGCACGACAAAAAGCAAAGAATATTGAAAGTTAAATTGCAGTAGAAAACGCACGGACTGTACTGCACGTAAAAATATTGAAACCGATTAAAAAGGAAGGCAAGGAAAATAATGATCCATATAATATAAAAATACAATTTTATGGAATTAATACAAGGCATTTTGTTGTACTTACACTTTTCCCAGCATGGCTTTAACACAAGAGGTTTTCCCGGAACCCTCATGGCCAAGAAACATCAGTCTTGAATTAACAACTGTTATTTCACCGTTTTTAAGTGCATCTTTGAATGCTTTGACGGCATCGGGACCCCTGGCTAAAATCTCTGATGGAGTTGATAGTTCTAATTTATATACAAACATAACAACAATATTTAGTATTTTCTTTTTTAATTATATTTTTGATTGTTTACGATGAAATAAATTTTTTTACGATAATCAAAATGTGGAAATAATACAATAATTGTGTAGAATTTCAAATTATAAAAAAATAAATGTCAAACGTAATACGGGTGTATGATAAGTACTTTTTTAAATAGAGTTTGAAGATTTGATTCCACAAATATTTAATAAGTCAATCAACGTACTTTCAAGTAATTCTTTTAAATCTAGTTTCTTTTCACTTCTCGTGGTTTCGTCGTATTCTTTACATTCGTTTTTATCATACAAATCAAGAGGCGTCTTTCCCAACTGCAATAACAGACACGAGCACGCGATGATTCATTCCATTGCAAGACAATTAAAAACCAAATAAACAAAAAGCAGTGATATAGTTTTCTTAAATACTCAAAGATGATAATGAAAATAATATATCTAACGAACACTCGACAATGTTATCATCACGACGTTATAATTATGTTGTAAATTACCATCCAATTAATTTATAATAAACATTTTTAAACTCATACTTCTAAAACCTTTTAAAAATCAACACGAATATTCGTATGATTTTTTTTTCTATTTAATTTTGTTTGAATTTATATTTATTATGTTGGTTTTAATTAGTAAAAATGTTTCAAGTAGTTTCATATACAGTTGTTGTATTAAGGTCATTGACTGATATTCTTTTGATGCATTTCATTTTTCTGTACATTACCAAATCTTGTATTGTCACCGACGCGCCAAAGGTGATACTGAGAATTGCGAGTTCCTTGTGTTGCTCGTGCGTCAGCTTCTCATTCCGTAGACAGTAATGTAGTGGTGTGAATCCATCCTGCAATGAAATGATAATCAACGTCAAGTTTGTTGAACACGCACAACACAAGAATATCAATTAACAAATATTACGCAAACGTAAAAGTACCTGAAATCATTTATAACTACCATAATTTATTAACGACCACCGGTAATATTAGTGAAACTTCAGTAATATTATAATAATCATAATAATAATATTGATGATAATAATAATAATTTTGATATTAATTATTATTTATATTGTTAATGATAATTTAAAAAAAAATAATATGGCAATGCAAGAATGAAGTAGGTACCTGAATTAATGATGATGGTAATAAGTATTATGAAATTAATAATTATAGGATAATACAGCACCTATACTCTATTAATATTAATGGTAATAATATTGACAAAAATGTAGTAATGGATTGTGGTTTATTTTTGTTGTATTAATAAAACAAATAATAATGGTCAAGGTAGTCTCCCCTACTGAGTGGAAAATATTTCTCAGCCAGTTGTAAATAAAAAAATCACATCTCAGTATTATAACCAAGAATATTACTAAATTAGAACGTGATGTATTGAATGTGTTTGTGAGTGAATTAATGTTAATTTGTTAGCAATGAATGAAGTGTTGTTTTCTTCTACTGTACTCACGTGTTTGTCTTGCGTGTTAATCTTCTTGTTGTTTTTTTCCAACACGCGTCTCATTGCTGACACGCGTGCGTAGACCGCCAAGAAATGGAGAATAGTGAAACCATCAGGCTACAAGACAAACGTAGAATATGATGAGAAAGAAATAATAAACAACAACAAGAAACTATAC